AAAGTACTTAATTGACCATTCCATTTTTATTTCCCCTAATCACCGTGCCATCCCTGTTCCAGCATTAACATTCTCCAAAGTCAATATGCATTTAAATTATTCCACAGATGATCAGAAATACCCTTGTTTCTTTAATTTACTTTGAATATTACCGTACTTTTAACTTATAATAATGCAAAAGGCTGTGTTTTCTTATTGTCAGAAAATTACTGTCAATCATGCTTAAAAGGTTCCTCTGGGTAGAGACAATGACATGCAATCCAGGGCTCAAAACAAAAAACTCATGGGAGCATCAGCCAATTCTCCACTTGGTGTAAAAAGGCCATGGCAAGAATCCTTCTGTACAGAAGTTAGAAAAGTGAGTGCTGTGTGCCGCACAGTCAGAAGAATAAATTAATCTGTTCAGAAAGAAGAGAGTTTTGCACTGCATTCTCGAGCAAATGGTTTAGTTGAAACTGCAGAAGATAACCCTGCAGTATTCTTTAAAGGCCGTCATACTACAATTCTCCAATTTGTCTTGGAGAAATGTCAGGAACTGTGAACTCACTTTGGAGTTAACAAATTTGTTTGAGTCTAAGAAACCTATTGGTTCAGAGCTGTAATGTTCAGTTCTTACCCAGGAGGAAAACAGGTAAGCTCAAAACTACCGAGCAATTCTGACAATATTAACAGGTTATTCAGGTTGGCACACCATATATACTGAATGCTTTAAAGGTTCCTGGAGTAACTAAAAGGAAAAGTCTGGATTTCAATCTTTTGAAGAACATGCAAGTCAAATTACCTCTGTCATACAGCATTGTAAAACTTGGAGGAAAAACAATCAAGATTGACCCTCCATCTTGAACCAATTCTGTCCATAGAATAAAAATACTTCCAACCATGCTATCTGGTTTGGAGTTCCAGAATTTTGGACCAGAAATTATGAAGGAGTTATGAGATATGTCCAAAGCAGGTTATCTGTGCTCTCATAGGAAATATGGATGTGGACGTGAGGTTTTTTGCACAAACCAGCTTGGATTGATATTCCAAATAGCAAGTCCGAGATGTCCAACAGCAGAACATTGGTTAGGTTGCTGCAGCACTACCTACAGACACTGCAGCCATAGTAGATGTTAACTTTGTGAGAAGTTCCTGTTAGCTAGCTGATGTCCATCCACTGAGGGCTCAAATCTACCTTTGTTTAAAGACCTAATGTGTAAGACGAACAGCAGAGTCCATTAGGGGTTGAGATAATTCCAAAATGACAAGGTCATTGATAGAAAACCAAAATCCATTCTGTGACAGGCTGATTATCCATTGGTGAGTCAGGTAATTCTACAGTTTTTCAGGACACTGTTGGTAAACAAGCCCAAAAATTTGCATTTTTCACAGGAGAAATAAACAGAACATAACTTACAAAGCTCCAAAAATTCTGCATTAAATATGAAATTTAACCTTCTAATACACAATAAATTGGGGGCCCAAGTAGAAACAGATGGGAAAAGCAGCCAGGTGAAGACTAGAATTGCGTGGGATAAAGATTAGTGGCACCCAGAACAACAGACCAGTCCCTATGCACTGGAATTCTTCCCACTTGGTGTTGAATAATCCAGCAGGCCAATAATGTTGTAATGAGCATGGTAGTTTTAGCTAAAAACAAATTCACCAAAGCTATGCACCTATAGGCTTGACTGGATATTAGTCAGGGTGGCTACCGCTGCACACATTTGAGAGTAACCAAACTTTGGTTCCCCTTAATTGTAGGTTCTCTAAATTAGATACTTTGATTTGATTTATTATTGCCACATGTACAGAGATACAGTGAAAAGTATTATTTTGTGTGCTAACCAGACAAATCATACCTTACATAAGTACATTAGGGTAATGGAACAGAATGCAGAAAATAGTGTTACAACTACAGAGAAGGTGCACAGAAAGATCAGCTCTAATATGTGAGAGGTCTGTTCATAAGCTGGTAACCACAGGGAAGAAGCTGTTCTTGAATCTGTTGGCATGCATTTTCAAACTTTTGTATCTTCTGCCTGATGGAAGAGGGTGGAAAAGAGTATAACTAGGGTAGGAGAGGTCAATTATTATGTTGGCTGCTTTCCTGAGGCAGCGGGAGGTATAGACAGTCAATGGAAGGAAGGCTGGTTTTTATGACGGATTAGGCAATATTCATAACTCACTGCAATTTCTTGTGGCCTTGGGCACAGCAGCTGCCATATCAAGCTGTGACGCATCTGGATAGGATGCTTTATATCAGCATCTATAAAAATTGGTTAAGAGTCATTGTGCTGAATTTCCTTAGCCTTCTGAGAAATTAGAGGCATTGGTATGTTTTCTTGACTGTAGCACTGCCATGGATAGACCAGGATAAACTGTTGGTGATATTTACTCCTAGGAAGCACTCGACCACCTCCACTTCAGCACCACTGACACAATCAGGGGCATGTCTTCCATTCATTTTCCTGAAATCGATGGCCAGCTCCTTCATTTTGCTGACATTCAGGGAGAGATTGTTGTCTTTGCGCCACACCACTAAGCTGTCTCTCTCTTTCCTGTACTTTGCCTCATCATAGTTTGAGATCTGACTCACTACAGTGGTGTCATCAGCAAATTTATAACTGGAGTTAGAGCTGAATTTGACCACACAGTTGTGAATGTATAATGAGCATGAGGAGAAGCCGAGTACACAACTTTGCAGAGAATTGGTGTTGGGGATTATTGTGAAGGAGGTGTTGTTGCTTAACCTTACTGACAGCGGTCTGCGGGTCAGGAAGTCGAGGATCCAGTTGCAGAGCGGAGAGCACAGTCCTAGGTCTCTGAGTTTGCTTGGAATTATGGTGTTGAAAGCAGAGGTAAAGTCAATAAATTGGAGTCTGATGTAGGTGTCCTTGTTATCCGGATGTTCCTGGGATGAACGGTACACCAGAGAGATGGTGTCTACATGGAGCTATTGCAACGGTACTAGGGATGCGTGCAATGTACAGCAGCATAAAGTCCACCCTGTGAATTTCTGAATAGCCTGGTTTGGAGGACATCAAATGTGGTCATGAATGCATGTCACATGTCAAGTTGACAGGGAAAAAAAATGCTTATAAACAATTAGTCTTGTTTTGCCTGTGACACCCGAGTTAACATAATATTTGGACATAAGGAGGATTAATAGGTCTATCAGCCTTTTAAACCCATTCCGCCACTCAGTAAGTTCATGGCTAACCTTCCTCTTCAACACCATTTTCCTGCACTATCCTCATATCTCTTGATGTTTTTAACATGTATAGATAGATCAATCCCAGTTCTGAATACACTCAATGACTGAGTCTCCACAGCCTCTTCAGTAAAGAAACTCAAGTCAGTTCTAAATGGCCTGCCCCTTATTCCAAGACTGTATAACCCTTTTCTACACCCCCGTGCCAGGGTAAAGATTGTTCCTGCTGAAATCATTGCTCTGTATTGTATATATTCTTCTCGAATTAGAATTCTTTAGTCCTCCAACTTTATAGTTTCCATTTAGGAACTACAACATATGCCCACAAACACTGGGAACCAATAATTATAGTAAAACAAAAGGCAGACATGGTTTTTGGAAAGATCAGCTCTCTCACAATAAATCCCATTGTTATTGCCAACTTAAGACTGCTTTACTTATTAAGCAATACCTGGCTATCAATTAGTGAACACACCAATTCCATTTGACTCTGGAACACCACTTTCATTTATGCAAAATAAAACTATTACTTCTTCAAAGCTAAATTATGATGTTATACAACAACAAAGTAGTAACTGCAAATTTCTTCCTTTCTGACTACAGCATTACAGGCATTTAGAAACTAACCCTTCAAATCTTTTCACAGGGAATGTCTATCCCCGAATTATCTCTGAACAAAATAAGTGCAATTGTTGAATCTCTCCGCCTTTGAGTAACATTGGGATGTCAAATCAGGCTTTAGATAAACTGTAATACAGGCATGGAAAAGATACCCAATGAGTTCAAGGGACAGACAGCATCCCAGTCTGGGACCTGTGCATTTCTATTTGTCTATCTGTGTGTGTGGAGGTAAACAGAACTCCCATTAAAAAGCCCAGCCAAAGATTTAAGAAACAGAGTGCATTGCCCAGCACTGGCACATTTCACTTGGGAGACTGCTGTGGCAAGGAGGGCAATGAGAGGGAGAAGAAAGAGGAGTGCGGGAAAGGGGATGAGAGGATAATGATGAGGGAAGATGGGGGGAGTGATGAAGGAAAGGAGGAAGATCCTTTACTTATTCATTTTACGGGATGAGGGCATCGCCGGCTAGGCAGCATTTATTGCCCAGAGGGCAGTTACGAGTCAACCACATTGCTGTGGGTCTGGAGTGGCATGTAGGCCAGACCAGGTAAGGATGGCAGATTTCCTTCCCTAAAGGACAGTAGTGAACCAGATGGGTTTTTCCGACAATCGACAATGGACTTACTGTCATCATTAGATTCTTAATTCCAGATATTTATTGAATTCAAATTTCACCATCCGCCCGTGGCGGGATTCAAACCCAGGCCCCAGAATGTTCTCTGGATTAACAGTCTAGTGATAATACCACTAAGCCATCACCTCCTCAGTAAGAAGGAAGATGGGGTGGTTGACGAGGGAAAGAAAAGGCAAGATGGGACAGTGTTTAAGGGATCAGGGAGGTTGAAGGGGATGAGGGACAGTGAGGAGATCAGGGAACGATTGAGTTGGGGTTGAGGGTAATGAAAGGGAGGTTTGGGGGGAGATCTGGAGGGAGACAGGGATCCCGGGAGACAAGAGAATCGGGGATGGGGTTCGGGTGAGGGAGAGGAGGATCATGAGAGGATGGGACTGACGGTAGATCAGAGAGCGTTGGGGAATAAGGAGGATACGAGAAGGGGCTGAGGACGAGTGAGGGTGGTCGGTTATATAACGAAAGCCTGGTGCGGAGTGAAGGATGGCATGGGTGCCGGGGCTGGGGGGCTGGGGGCCTGGGGGCCTGGGGCCGGGGCCTGCTCCTCTCACTCACCTACAGCCCAGGAAGACATGGTTGGTCCACACCATGGAGAGGGCGAGCAGCTGCTCCATCCTGTTTCCCGGGTAGTTCTGGATGTGTCGAAGGATGAACTGCCGGCGGATCCTCCAGTGCTTGTCGCTCTCCGACAGGCCGCGGTACTGCTCCACCGCCTCGGTGAGCTGCAGCTTCGGGCCGGCCAGCGACTCCACGCCGGCCGCCATCTTAGAGACCGGGCCCAGGCGGCGGCGCCCTGGCCGGGGTGACACACACACACACACCGAGCGACAGAAAAGTAATCAATCCGCCTTCCCGGCTTCAAACAGAGCAGCCGGCCACAATCACCCAGCGACCAGGCCGCGGTCTGAATCCTGACGGCGGCTAAACAAGCCCTTCCTCCTCCTCCTCCCGATACTGCGGCTGCCTTCCCTCCGGCCGCCCGCTCCGAACTAGCGGAGGCCGGCCCGCCAGCACCCCTAGTGTTGGCGGTGTGGAGGTGCGGGTACGCGGCTCCCGGCTCCCAGCCCCCAGCCGCCACAATGTATCCGCTCTGCTGTCACAAACACTACCCTTGACAACAGCGACACAAGCAGCAAAGCCAGCGAGAGGCTGCAATATCAGCCACTGACTGGCCAGACCCGTCCTTCACTCCACCGCCACACCGTGTGGTCGCGCAGACCGCCCCAAAACCAATCCGCATATCGCAAGCTCTCGTAGACAGCAATGTGACAAATAGCCAGACAGATAGTCTGCTTTACTGATCAGGCTCATTGACCAGGACGGTCGGAATGACTCGCCTACTCTTCTTCAAAATAGTTAATGAGGGATGTCCAGGACACCAGGAATGACTCACTTTCTCTTCTTCAAAATGGTGATGAGGGATATTTTGTGGCCAGGACAACGAGGATGGCACCTTTGCTCTTCAAAATAGTAATGAAGGATGTATAATAGCCAGCACACCAGGAATGACTCACTTTCCCTTCTTCAAGATGGAGATGAGGGAGGTATAATGACCAGGAATCCAGGATTTGAGTTGATTTATTATTGTCACATGTAACGAGGTACGGTGAAAAGTTCTGTTTCATGTGCAAGACAGGCAGATGATGCCATACAAGGTGAGTAAGGGTAATAAAACAGAGGGAAGAGTACAATGTTAACAGCTGCAGAGAAGGTGCATCAAGAGTGAGACAAACATTAAATTTGAAATTTGAAAGGTCCATTCAAAAGCCTAAAAGCAGCAGGGAAGAAACTCTTCTTGAATCTGTTGGTCCATGTGTTTATGGAATGACTTACTCTTCTTCAAAATAGCGATGATGGGTGGAAGCCAGGGATGACTGGCCTGCTGCTTTGCAACATTGATCTTTTGAATAAAAGCAAAATACTGTAGATGCTGTAAATCTGAAATAAAAACATAACGTGGCAGAGAAATTCAGCAGGTCTGGCAGTATCTGTGGAGAGAAAAACAGAGTTATCACTTTGGGTCCAGCATGACTCTTGTTTGGAACTTTTAGGTTCACCAGAGAGCAGTGGAATGTCAGTTCAAAGCCACATTCAAAAGAGAATACTTTCACTTTTCATGTTGGCAAGGCATAATGAGTGGTCTACCACAGGGATCAATGCTGGGGCCTTAACATTTTATAACTAATATCAGTGACTGGGAAGAAAGGAATCAAGGTTATTGTTGCTAAATTGAGAGACTGCAGAGCTCTGTGATACAGAGGGATCCTAATGCATGTATCACAAAAGGTTAGTATGCAGGTACAGCAAATAATGAAGAAAGCTAACAGATCTTACCATTTATTGAAAGGAATGGAATACAAAAGTAGGGAGGTTATACCGGACATTGTTGAGATCACGTCTGAAGTATTGTGAGCACTGTTCATCCCCTTATTAAAGGAAGAATGTAAATGCTTTGTAGCCTATTATCAGAAATGGGTGAGTTGTGTTATGAGGAAAGGTTGGGCAGTCTGGACTTTTATTAGTTGTAATTTAGAAGAGTGAGAAGAGACTTGATTGAAACATGTAAGACCCTGAGGCATTTTGGCAGGATGACTGAGGAAAGGATGCTTTCTCCTGTGGGATGACTGGATGCTGGAAGTTTGTAAGTAAGGGAGCCTTAAGCTCTTTATAAAAGTTTTATGTTTGTTTGTATTTAACAATGATCTGAAATCTACAGTTTCAATTCTAAATTTCCCAGACTTAATCAGGACTTTACAGGGTTTCCACTGGAAGAGCAGTTAAATAATTAAGGACAGCTGTTGAAACTGTTTCACTGTAACTTGGGTCAGCTAGCTGTTTTTCTTCAGACCCATATAAAGGCAGGCAGGGGTTCTTGCAGTACAATGGTAGTGTACCTAATTCTGGCCAGATGACCTGTGTTCAAGTCCGAAACCTCCAGATTGACCTACGATATCTATAAAGCCAGGCATTTTAGTGTGGAGAGTTTGGTAAATAAGGAAGGTGTTGCTTTTATGCTTTTTTAAATTTTCTATGAATTGGTTCTTACTGTACTACAAGGAAACTAGCTACCTGTTTGGTGAGTACATTTTTCATTCATTCACCGAATGTGGGCATAGCCATTTAATGTCTATTGCTATTTGCCAATATTGCTAAGTGTCTGGAGTCACATGTAGGCCAGAACAAATAAGATGGCATATTTCCTTCCCTAAAGGACATTAGTGATAGTTTGTTCCTCCAACAATTGGCAACACTTAGACTCTTAATTCCAATTTTTGTTTTTCATTGAATTCAAATTATGTCATCTGCAATGGCAGGATTTGAAGCCAGGTACTTGGACCATTAGTTGGGTCTCTAAGTTAATAGTCTAGTGATAATACCATTAGGCCATCATATCTGATAAGTTATTGAAAACTTCAGAAAATATTAGATTTCATAAACGACATTAAGATTAGTGCTTACAACAGCAACTAATAGTAATCATGCAATGCAAATATGACTCACAGTAAAACAATATTTCAAAAATACAAGCAATGGATGAATAACGTCCTTGAGTGGAAGTTGATTGGTCATGTACAATGAGAAGGCTGAAAACGCTATCGTAACAACAGAAGTTGCTTTGCCTGCTGTATATTAAGTGACTGTAATTAATTCTTGTTTGAATTGCAAACAAAAAAAACGTTCTTTATTGTTTCCAATGAAAGCCTACTAAAAATAGTGTAGTGAGATGTTTTTATCTTGCATTTGAGCATTCAGATGTATCCTTCCAATCTGCACACTTGGGTTCTTTGGTGTTTAAATGTTGCCCAAAGAATTTCCCTTGACTTTCTGACACAGAGACAAGGAAGCCAATTCTGAACCCTTGTACATGGAGAAAACAATATTGAGACAAAAATAGAAAATAAATGATGGAAAGCAACCACTTAATGCCTGTGATGGAAATAGGTTCTGAAATATTTGTAACCTCTGCCAGATTTTCTTCTGAATTGCTGAAAGTTTCTCTTTCTTCTAGTTAACCAGTTATTTCTGTGATAAATTATCCTGGTACTATGGTGGTCATTGGAAAGTATACAGTGTATCTAGTGCACCAATTGTGGTATCCTGCCCTTCAACCGGAGCTGACTGCAACCTTGGACACTTTGATTTGAATTATCACAGAGTCTGGACCAAACCTCTTGCTGGATTGCTCAGGGTCTGCATGGTTTTATGCTCAAGACATGGAGTCATGGTTCTTAACTTTCCCGTTCCGTGTTGTCAAAATACACTGCTGTTCGTTAACAATGGGAACTTCCACTTCAAGGATGGGTTGAGTGGGAGATTCAGTCCATTCATTGCCAAAACACAGAAGCTCCCACTCCAACTTGGTTTTCCTGCAGATGTAGAGAAGCATTGGAGTGGGACTGAAACAGAACAATTGATTCAACTTAAAAGATGTAGCAGGTTGAATCTTACCATTGGCAGGTGGGACTAATTTAGTTTGAGATTATGTTTGGCACGGATTCATGGGACCGAAAGGTCTGTTTCTATACTGTATAACCTTTTGGTGAAGTGCCATTTTCATTGAGTTTCATGGATGATCTATTTCTACAAATCATAGCAAGTTTTCTCATGCTATAGTGCCAACTCGACCCGTTAACTATCTACCACAACGTGGCTCTGTCTCATTGAATACTAGCTTGATTCACCCACACTGTGTAACCAGAGGTGCTTGCAACTGTCGGGATATCCCAAGGTCTATGGTGCTGGCACCATCTTTACAAGGCCATTGTACACCCGGACAAACACTATCAGTGTGCACCTGCCGTGCACGGTCCATGACATCTGCCCCAGTCATGACAGATAATGGGAGATAAGCATGCCACTTTGCAGATTGGAGGTCTTGGTGGATGGGGTGGTGCAGCGGAGGGCTGTTCTCTTCCCACAGGATTGGCACTAGAGGCAACAACACCATACGCTGCCATAACAAGGTGTAGAGCTGGATGAACACAGCAGGCCTAGCAGCATCATAGGAGCAGGAAAGCTGACGTTTCGGGCCTAGACCCTTCTTCAGAAAATTTTGAAGTCTAATTTGAAGTCTAGTTTCACGCACTTTTGTTGCTGATCAAATGGGTATGTGAGAAAAGGATAATTGAACATCTGAAATTTTGTGTGCCCTTTCATGGGATTGTAAAAGGGGTGGAATTGCACTGGAAGATCTGATTTCTTGTGATCAGTTGGTGAGTTGATATGTTTGAAAGTGAAACTGCTTTCCCCGTTCACCTGGTGAATGTGATGAGGTCAGATTGGGATATTTTCTAAGATTACAAAGAGATTTTGATCAAATGGGTCAATGGGCCGAAAAATTGCAGGAGGAGTTCAATCTGGATAAATGCAAGGTATTGCATTTTGGTACACTAAACATGGGCAGGACTTATACAATTAATGGTAGGGTCTTGGGTAGTATTGCAAAACAGAGAAACCTAGGGGTGCAGGTACATAATTCTTTGCATCACATATAGACAGGATGGTTAAAAAGGCATTTAGCACACT